TACTACTACTACTAGTATGGTTCAGTACTGTTTTTGTTAATAAAGCACTATTTTAGTTTTTGTTCAGTATCAATTTTAAAACAATCGGTTAATTAATCGGTATCGGCCAGTGTGGTCCAACCTAGCTATCGGTATCGGCAAAATCCACTATCGGTCGACCTCTACACAGCACTATTGTAAGGTATACGTAGTATAAGTGAACTGCTGTGGAAAAGTGCACAATCCCAGTTTTCCTAAACATGAGACATACTTTGTTTAGTGCTTCGAACAAAATTGAAAGCATACAGTTTAAAAGCAACTTGCTCTCCTGTCAGATGCGTGTGATGTTTAATGCATTTGAGATATGTTTTCCTCAGCACTTAACTTACATCTTGTGGTTGTATCCTTATTTGTAAATGTGAGAAAGTCACACCAGTATTTCCACTTTGCAAAAAGGCTCATCCTGACAGCAAGTATCCATTCACAGATTTTACTGAAGGAACGGCTGTCAGTAAAACAGACAGAGCACAATAGAATGAATGCGCAACAATTCTGACTAAAAGATACGTTTTCCTAAAATATTTTGTATCCAAAAGTGGAAGCACTTCAAATATCTTCCCCAGTTTACAACGATGCCATAAACTGCAGTATGAAGAGTGTTACAACCTTTTGCAGCAGCAGTGACAGACTTTTTTGTTATTAAACAGAGTCTCTAAATAAAACTAAATAAATACATTTTATTTCTGGTTTGTTCCCTCTGCTTTATTAAAAACATACCCAACCGTCTTGCTCATCTATGATCTAAGTGGTTACATGCTTGCTGCTTGCAGCTGTATTTTGGTTAGTATTTCTCATAACCATTGCACAATGGAAGAGGAGTTTTTGGTGGTTCTGATGGTACAGATTTTTATTTTACATGAGGTTTCATGAGGCCCAGTTGTCACAATGAAGTTTATAGGAGGAAAAAAGCTGGAGACAGTTATAAAACATTTGGCAAAGGTGTTAACCGTATTTCAGAAACATTAGAAAGTGTAACAAGTGTTACAAATATGTGGCACAAACCAGACACTTCTGCGTTCAGCTGTCGTGCCAAAATGAGCTACCAGAAGTGGAGCAATTGTAAAAACATGAGCGAGAGTCCAGCTATAACACTGACAGCCTTTCAGAGCTCTTTGGCTGAAATGAGAGAAAGTGTCCAGACATCAACAATATCTTCAGCACTTCTGGTGAGTGTTTAGAAGAAGCAGCTTTTAAGACCAGCAGTGAGTCATGTCTAGAGTTTAGAAGTCATTTAATGAAACCTGAAAACGTTTGGAAGGACATTTTGTGGTCTTGATGACTCTTTATTTGAACTGTGTGACCTGAAAGCAAAGTGCTGGCTATAGCGCAAGCCAACTTTAATGATCAACTAATGTTAACGGTAATGTTAACAATACAAAACTGATGTTACAATTCAAAAATGTTCACCTGGGCATTACTTTATTTTAAAAAGTGGTCCGGAGTTATTTTCTGAATTATGCTTTTTTGGTCAATAGATAAGCTTTTTTGGCTTTGAATTTGTTTTCTTAAAATGCTTTATATATTTCCCTTACCATACAAACGTACAAAATTGAAGTCATCGAGTGCAACAAGAATAGAGTCAGATACTGGCAGATCCTCCAGGAAAACCTGATTCAGTCTGCCAGAGATGTGTGTGAACACAATACAACTATGAAGAAATAACTTGAACAAAAGAAAGTTGGTATTCAGCAATGGCCAAGCCAGAGTCCTTGAATCCTGCTGTAGAATGAGCTGAAAATTACAGTCCACAGAGTCCATCCAACTAATCTTGTGAAGTTTGAATGCATTTGCATTGATGAATGAGCCAAAATTTAACTGTGCAAAGCTCACTGGTACACAGAAGACGACTCTGTATGTCTATTATTTTGAAGAGCTGAGCATTTGTGAATCAGAATATATATTTTGAATCACGAATGCGTTGAATTCATTCGGTCACTTAGTCAGCCTTGGTGTCCATAAGACACAAAGTGCAATGGTGTCACTTTAAAGGGATAGTTCACCCAAAATTGAGATTTTTGGCATCACTTACTAATCTTAATTTCGTTTTAAACGTGTATCTCTGCTTTCATTTGTGAAAAGCATTTAAAATGCACTTGAGTGTGCACTTGAATGTGCTAAGTATTCATGTTTGTATACTTAAAGTACATATTATGTGATTGATTTTAAATCTACATTAGCACAGCTTTCAGAGTCTCATGTTTGGAAAGTGTTGTTCAATAGCATTCAGAGTAGCTAAGGTGAAACATCATCCTTGGCCTTTGGAAATTTTAATTTGAGGAGAT